GATGGAGTCCGAGGTGCAAATGCCTGCAACCTCGTCATGGAATAATACAATAAGAAAATAAAACAAAGTTATCACCAATCTATTATTAACGATTAACTATGATTAACTCCAAAACTTCAAAAAGAATTCTTACTCAAAAAAAAAAAAAAAAAAAAAAAAAAAAAAAAAAAAAGAATCTACATAACATGTAACAAATCCCTCTTACATGGCATCCAGTAGCTCTCTTACCCAAATCTTACCCTCAAGGACCACCCTCTTCCCAGAACACGTACCTGCACGGTGAAAAGAAGCCCTCTCCTGGTTTTGGCAGAGAAATAGATGGGTATGTTGTAGGTACCGGCCTGCCCTGGAGTGCACTTGAGTTGGCCTTCGGGTACTTGATAAGGAGTGAGGAGTTGAGGGGGAGTAGTAATGCTGGAGTTCCTTGGAGTAGGAGGACGAGTGCATGTCGGCGCGGCAGTTCAAGGTTGACATCTAGGGGATGGGAGGAAAATAGAGGTAAAAAGAAGGGGTGGAGATGTATCAGTAAATATGGACTAGAAAGTAGGTATATATACTAAATTCATATAGGGTATAGAGACGAAAGAAGATAACGAAGCAAATCTATTACGAGAAGATGGAGAATAAAAAACGAACACAATGAAATAGATAAGAAATAAACAAATAAATAAATACACACCACGAATTTTCACACACACGCACACAACACCCCCCCCCACACAACACACCCATCCACCCACACACACACACACACACACACACACACACACCCACACACACACACAAACACACACCCCCCACACACACGCACAACCCCACCCACCCCACACCACACACACACACACCCATACCACACACCCAACCCCCCCACCCCATCCCCCACCCACACACACACCCCACCCCACCCATCCCACCCACCCATCCCACCCCACCCACCCACCCCACCCCACCCACACACAGCCCTCCCAAACACAGACCCAGAGAGAAAACACGAACCAAACGCAGACATCCTACAATTCTACTTACAAGATCCTATTATGTTGTCCGAAGAAACTAGAGCTGTGAACAAACCGTCAGCAGCTGTTGTCATGTTCTTACACTTTCCAGCTGCACACACTTCGACAGGGACTCCAGCTGCAGGCGACTTATCGGGCCAAACAGCTTTTACCTTGAAGAAGAGAAGAAGAAGAGAAAAATGGTTTTATATTTTTTATTCATTTGTGTAATGTTATAGTTATTATTGTCATTTGTGTCTTTTCTTAGTTATTGTTATCGTTTTTTTTTTGTATTATTCTGTTTAGTGTTTATAGCTGGTGTTGCTGTTGTCATTGTTGTTGAAGAAAAAATAAAATCTCATCATCACCGTCACCATCACCACCATCCATCATCATCATCATCACATCATTATCATTATCCTCATCAATTCTCTTTCCGAATCATTATCTCAATCATTATCAATATTATCTTCTCATAATCACCTCTATCACCCTATCACTCCTTCACCTTAATCACTTAATTTGTATCTATTACCACCCTTATCACCCCTTTATCCTATTATCACCCTTATCACCCCTTCACCTTAATCATTATCATTTTTATCCTATTATCACCCTTATCACCCCTTCACCTTAATCACTATCATTTTTATCCTATTATCACCCTTTACCTTAATCACTATAAGTTGTATTCTATTATCACCCTTATCACCCCCTTACCTTCAGCGTATAAGGCAAGTTGGGCTTCTTGTAATTATCCTCGTAAACGGTCTCGAAGGTGACGGCGGTCCTGAGAACGCTGGCACTGGTTCCGGCACCGAGGACGACGCCAGTGCCATCCTCTTCCACCATGGCCGAGGCTCGCAGGTTGTACACGTTGCAGTCCGTGATTCGCATCTCCTCGGCTGTGATCTCAAAGTCCTTGCACCCCGTGATCTGTTTCGGAGGAGATGGGAGGGGTGGTGTTCAGTGGGGGGGGTGGGGTGGGGTGGGGAGGGTGGGGGTGGGAAGGGAGGGGGTTCGGGGATGGGGATGGTTAGGGGAAGGGTGGGGGTTAGGGGTGGGGTGGGGTTAGGGGAAGGGATGGGGTTAGGGAAGGGGTGGTGGTGGGGTTGAGTGGGTGGGGGTTAGGGGAAGGGGTTAGGGGAAGGGGTGGTGGGTGGGTGGGTGGAAGGTGGGTGGAAGGTGGTGGGTGGGAGGGTAATGGTGGGTGGGTGGGTTGGAGGGTTGGAGTTTATGGGTGGTTGGAGGGAGGGAGGGAGTGGATGGTGGGTAGGTGGTGGGTGGGTGGAGGGAGAGAGGATTGGAGTTTATGGGTGAGAGAGAGAGAGACAGAGACAGAAATAAACAGACAGTATGGTAGAAAACCCCGTTTCCGAAACTGTTGTCTCACATTCTTCAGCAAATCCAGTTTATGCATTATGGGTTTTCTACCATATATATTATATACACGATAGAGTGCTTTTCCATTCAAATAGATAGTAACAAAGATTCAGACTCAAATCAAGAATTAAAAAAAAAAAAACGAAGAAAGTTGAATAAAAAAAAAACGAAAACGACACGAGAGACAAAAAAAAAAAAAAAAAAACGAAAACGACACGAGAGACAAAAAAAAAAAAAAAAAAAAAAAATACAGACTCCCAAAACAAAACAGATTAATGAACGCATTTGAAGAACAAAATCAGTGAACAAAGTGAACACTCACGCTCTCATTCCTCTGGGCTTCAACTCTGCACTTTCGTCTCTGGTCGTTGTTCAATTCGAAGGTCACGTTGCCCTTCACTGGCTGTCCGAAAGTGTATCTGAACGAAAAAAATAAATAGATAAATAGATAAGATAAGAATGAAAACTAAATAAATAAGTAAATAAAAATAAGAATGGATGAATGTCCGAAAGTGTATCTGAATGAAGAATAATTAGATATGTAGATAGGTAGAATAAGTGTATCTGAATGAAAAAAATAAATAGATAAATAGATAAGATAAGAATGAAAAATAAATAAGTAAATAAAAATAAGAATGGATAAATGTCCGAAAGTGATCAATGAAAAATAAATAAATATGTAGATAGGTAGAATAAGTGTATCTGAACGAAAAATAAATGAATAAGTAAATAAAAATAAGAATGAATAAATGTCCGAAAGTGTATCTGAACGAAAAATAAATAGATAATAGATAAGATAAGAATGAAAAATAAATAAATAAGTAAATAAAAATAAGAATGGATGAATGTCCGAAAGTATATCTGAATGAAGAATAATTAAATATGTAGATAGGTAGAATAAGTGTATCTGAATGAAAAATTAATAGATAAATAGATAAGATAAGAATGAATAAATAAGTAAATAAAAATAAGAATGAATAAATGTCCGAAAGTGTATCTGAATGAAGAATAAATAGATATGTAGATAGGTAGAATAAGTGTATCTGAATGAAGAATAAATAAATAAGTAAATAAAAATAAGACTGAATAAATGTCCGAAAGTGTATCCGAATGGAGAATAAATAGCTAAATAAATAAAAATAAGAATGAATGAATCTCCGAAAGTGTATCTGAATGAAGAATAAATAGATATGTAGATAGAATAAGTGTATCTGAATGAAGAATAGATAAATAGGTAAATAAAAATAAAAATGAATGAATGTCCGAAAGTGTATCTGAACGAAGAATGAATAAATAAGTAAATAAAGATAAGAATGAATGAATGTCCGAAAGTGTATCTGAATGAAGAATAAATAAATAAGTAAATAAAAATAAGAATGAATAAATGTCCGAAAGTGTATCTGAATGAATAATGAATAGATGAATAGATAAAATAAGAATGAAAAATAAATAAATAAGTAAATAAGATAAGAATTAATGAATGTCCGAAAGTATATCTGAATGAAGAATAAATAGATATGTAGATAGGTAGAATAAGTGTATCTGAACGAAGAATGAATAAATAAGTAAATAAAAATAAGAATGAATGAATGTCCGAAAGTGTATCTGAATGAAAAATAAATAGATAAATAGATAAGATAAGAATGAAAAATAAATAAATAAGTAAATAAAAATAAGAATGGATGAATCTCCGAAAGTGTATCTGAATGAAAAATAAATAAATATGTAGATAGGTAGAATAAGTGTATCTGAACGAAAAATAAATGAATAAGTAAATAAAATTAAGAATGAATAAATGTCCGAAAGTGTATCTGAATGAAGAATAAATGAATAAGTAAATAAAGATAAGAATGAATAAATGTCCGAAAGTGTATCTGAACGAAAAATAAATAAATAAGTAAATAACAATAAGAATGAATAAATGTCCGAAAGTGTATCTGAATGAAGAATAAATAAATAAGTAAATAAAAATAAAAAATGAATGAATGTCCGAAAGCGTATCTGAATGAAGAAATAAAAATAAGTAAAATAAAAATAAGGAATAAGCCCCTACTCCTAAAAAAAAAAAAAAAAAAAAAAAAAAAAGCAAGAACAATTTCTTAAATGACCAACTCCCCCCCCCCCGACTCCTCAAAAAAAAAAAAAAAAAAAAAAAATGCAAGTACAATTTCTCAATGACCAACTCCTTAAAAAAAAAAAAAAGGATGCAAGAACAATTCTCAAATGACCGCACACCACTCCTAAAAAAAAATAAATAAATAAAAAATAAATGAAAAAAAATAAAAAAATAAAAAAAATAATAATAACAATAATAAATAAATGAATAAAAATGCAACAACAAATTCTCACACGACACAACCCCCCCCCCTCCTCAAAAAAGAGAAGAGAAAAAGAAGAAAAAAAAAAAAACTCACTTTGCACAGACGGTGAAGACGAACTTCTCATCGGAAGCCAAGACGTATTTTGGCGGCGTCATCGTGACCTCGAACCGCGGCAAAACGTACTCTTCGACCTTGAAACTGTTTGTGTTTGTCCTGCCATCGGGTCCCTTGACGTGGATGTTGTAAAAACCCTGGGAATGCATGCGTGAATGAGAAAAATTCGGTTCGTAGTCATGTATGATGGAATAGAGAATAGGATTAAGGATATATACGATAGAAAGGGAGAAATTAATAGAGAATATATGCAATAGAAAGAGAAAAGAGAATAGAATAGAGAATATATACGATAGAAAGAGAAAAATATAAGAATAGAATTAAGAATATATACGATAGAAAGGGAGAAATTAATAGAGAATATATGCAACAGAAAGAGAATTAATAGAGAATATATGCAAAGAAAGAGAAATTAATAGAGAATATATCAATAGAAAGAGAAAAGAGAATAGAATTAGAGAAATATATACGATAGAGAGAGTAAAGAATAGAGAATAGAATTAAGAATATATACGATAGAAAGAGAAATTAATAGAGAATATATTGCAATAGAAAGAGAAAAGGGAATAGAATAGAGAAGATATACGATAGAGAGAGTAAAGAATAGAGAATAGAATTAAGAATATTATACGATAGAAAGAGAAATTAATAGAGAATATATGCAATAGAAAGAGAAAAGAGAATAGAATAGAGAATATATACGACTAGAGAAGTAAAGAATAGCGAATAGAATTAGATTATATACGATAGAAGAGAAATTAAGAGAGAATATATGCAATAGAAGAGGAAAAGAGAATAGAATAGAGAAGATATATGATAGAAAGGAAAAGAATAGAGATAGAATTAGGAATATATACGATAGAAAGAGAAAGGAATAGAGAATAGAATAGAGAATATATACAATAGAAAGAGAAAAGAATATAGAATAGAATAGGGAAATGTGCAATAGAAAGAGAAAAAATAAAGCACAGAATAGGGAAAATATACAATAGAAAAGAGAAAAGAATAGAGAATATATACGATAAAAGAGAAAAGAATATAGAATAGAATAGGGAAGATATACAATAGAAAGAAAAGAATAGAGAAATACAATGGGGAAAATATGCAATAGAAAGAAGAGAAAAAATAGAACAGGGAAAATATACAATAGAAAGAGGAAAAGAATAGAGAATATATACGATAAAAAGAGAAAAGAATAGAGAATAGAATAGAAAATATATACAGTAGAAAGAGAAAAGAATACAGAATGGAATAGAGAATATATACAATAGTATAGATAAATTATATAGAAATAGAGAATATATACAATATTATATAGAAATACAATATCAAATAGAAAAACATAGTGAATATATACAATAAAAGAAAAAGTTCTTTTTTATATTCATATTTTTCATATTTGAATTACGTAAGGAAAAAAGGAGAGAAGATAGTAGTTATATTCTGAGTATTAACATTTATATATACTATTTTTTTTCACAAGAATTGTTTGTTTAGCCCGTAAGACAAAAGACATTGTGATGGACCGCTGTCTGCAATACGTCAATTGCATAAGGACACAGCATCCAAATGTCAGAATCTGTTACCATAAGTAATGTTTATGTGAGTTTTCTAAAGTGGAATAAGTCTTTTTTTTTGGTTCATATAATACATATCTTTGACATCCCTAATCGTATTTTGTCGTGCTTCTACCCTCTTCCATCTCCCATCTTCTTAATCGTCCCTCTCCTCTATTCCCTACTCCTCTTCCTCTCTCTTTCCTCCCCGTCCTCTTTCTCCTCCTCACCCCTTCTCGCCCCTCTGCTCTATTCCCCTTTCCATTCCTTTTCCTCCCTCTTTCCTCCTATCCTCCTCCTCGCTCCCCTCCTCTATTCCCTTATCACCCTTATTACCCCTTTATCTTAATCACTATCATTTTTATTCTACTTATTTTACTCTCCTCTTCCCATTTCCTCTCCTCTATTCCCTATTCCTCTTCCTCCCTCTTTCCTCCCCGTCCTCTTTCTCCTCCTCACCCCCTCTCGCCCCTCTCCTCTATTCCCCTTTCCATTCCTTTTCCTCCCTCTTTCCTCCCCGTTCTCTTTCTCCCCCTCACCCCCTCTCGCCCCTCTCCTTTATTCCCACTTCCTCTTCCTCCCCGTCCTCTGTCCTCCTCGCCCTCTCCTCTATTCCTATTCCTCTCCTCCCGTCCTCTTTCTCCCCCTCACCCCCTCTCGCCCCTCTCCTTTATTCCCACTTCCTCTCTTCTATTACCCTTTCCATTCCTTTTCCTCCCCGTCTCTTTCTTCTCCCATCTCTCCTCCTCTATTCCCTATTCCTCTTCCTCCCTCTCTCCTCCCCGCCCTCTTTCTCCCCTCACCCCCCTCTCGCCCCTCTCCTCTATTCCCTATTCCTCTTCCTCCCCTCTCTCCTCCCCGTCCTCTTTCTCCCCCTCACCCCCTCTCGCCCCTCTCCTCTATTTCCCTATTCCTTTCCTCCCCGTCCTCTTTCTCCCCTCACCCCCTCTCGCCCCTCTCCTCTATTCCCTATTCCTCTTCCCCGTCCTCTTTCTCCCCCTCACCCCTCTCGCCCCTCTCCTCTATTCCCTATTCCTCTTCCTCCCGTCCTCTTTCTCCCCTCACCCTCTCGCCCCTCTCCTCTATTCCCTATTCCTCTTCCTCCCCGTCCTCTTTCTCCCCTCACCCCCTCTCGCCCCTCTCCTCTATTCCCTATTCCTCTTCCTCCCCGTCCTCTTTCTCCCCCTCACCCCCTCTCGCCCTCTCCTCTATTCCCTATTCCTCTTCCTCCCCGTCCTCTTTCTCCCCTCACCCCCTCTCGCCCTCTCCTCTATTCCCTATTCCTCTTCCTCCCCGTCCTCTTTCTCCCCCTCACCCCCTCTCGCCCCTCTCCTCTATTCCCTATTCCTCTTCCTCCCCGTCCTCTTTCTCCCCCTCACCCCCTCTCGCCTTACCTCCTCGGGTTCGTCAGCCAGCTGGAAGGACAGGTGGACGAGGCCGGATGACGTGGTGACGTTCTTCCACTGGGCAATGCGGGTTCTGGAGGGTGTTGTGACCCAGATTTCCGGTACTGGAAAAAGTGTTGTTTGTAGGTATATATTTGGTATATTTCTTATGTGAATGTAGGAATAAATGGATTATTAAGTAGGTTGTGATCCAGATTTCCGGGTACTGGAAAAAGTGGTTGTTTGTAGGTTATATTTGGTTATATTTCTTATATGAATATAGGAATTAATATATAATTATATAGGAATATATGAATAGGAAAAGGAATATAGATTTCCGGGTTCCAGATTTCCGGGTACTGAAAAAGTGGTTGTTTGTAGGTTATATTTGGTTATATTTCTTATGTGAATATAGGAATAAATGAATGAATAAGTAGGTTGTGAACCAGATTTCCGGGTTCTGAAAAGGGGATTGTTTGTAGGTTATATTGGTTATATTTCTTATGTGAATATAGGAATAAATGGATTAATAAGTAGGTTTTGTGAACCAGATTTCTGGGTACTGAAAAAGGGGATTGTTTGTAGGTTATATTTGGTTATATTTCTTATGTGAATATAGGAATGAATGGATTATTAAGTAGGTTGTGATCCAGATTTCCGGGTTCCAGATTTCCGGGTACTGAAACAAGACGATTGTTTATAGGTCATATTGGTTATATTTCTTATATGGATATAGGAATAAATAATGAATATATTTGTGACCCAGATTCCGGGTACTGAAAAAGTAATTGTTTATAGGTTTGGTTATATTTCTTATGAATATAGGAATGAATGGATTATTAAGTAGGTTGAATCAGATTCTACTGAAAAGGGGGTTGTTTGTAGGTTATACTTCTTATATGATTACAGGAATAAATGAATTAATAAGTAAATGAATGGATAAAGAAGTGAATAGATATATATGTATATTGTTGTGTGTAACTTTTAAGTATTAAGTTTGATTTGCTGTTGTGTATTGGAAAGTTTGTTGGTTATTATTCAAATGCTAGTATATCACAGTTATTACTATCATTATCATCGATATTGCTATAATGATAAGTATTTGTATCACTACCACTGTCCCTACCATTATCATAATTTCAAACTCTTATTATTCTTTATCATCATTATCATTCTTTATTATTAATAATATTATTATTTATTATCATTATTATTTTTTTCATTATTACTATTTATTATTATTATTATCATTATTCATTATAATTTTTTATTACCATTATTATTCTTCCTTATTATTATCATTCTTTATTACCATAATTATTCTTTATCATTATTATTATTTCTTATAATTACTATTATTTCTTATCATTATTATTATTTATTATCATTGTTATCCTTGTCATCATTATTATCCATTATCATTATTATTCTTTATTATCATTGCTATCCTTGCTACTGTTATCGTCATCATTATCATCAGCATCCCTGTTCCTCTCACCACTTTAGACTCCCGATCCCTCAGCTGATCATCACTGTCCTTACCTGCTCAGTAACGACCTGTGCCTTGGACCCGTACACAGTGAGGACCCTGAACTTGACTTCCTGACTTGGCTGGTACAGGTACTTGTCCGTCTGGATGAAGGTCAGGTTGTAGCTCCTCCTCAGCCTGATGTTCCGTGTCTCTTCCAGGTCAGCTCCGCCCACCTTGCCGGTCAATCGAAGGTCACCTCCATAGTCATCAGCTGGTTCTAGGGTGATGTCCTCGCATATTTCTGTCTTTCCTGTGAGGCGATGAGTGTTTAATGAGTTAAAGATTTGTGTAATTTTCTATCGACACAGAATATGTTTATATGTTTAATAGTTAATCTAGAGAGAGAGGAGAGGAGGAGGGAGGGAGAGGGAGGGAGGAGGGAGGGAGGGAGAGAGAGAGAGAGAGAGAGAGAGAGAGAGAGAGAGAAGAGAGAGAGAAGAGAGGAGAGAGAGAGAGAGAGAGAAGAGAGAGAGAGAGAGAGAGAGAGGGGAGAGAGAGTGAGAGAGAGAGAAATAATTTGCAATAAGAGCAAAAAAAAAAAAAAAAAAAAAAAAAAAGAGGGTGCTGAAAGATTTAGCAAGAAAAAAGTCCGTGAAGAGACAGAGACAAAAATGAAGGGATAGGATGGGAAGACTAAGAGAAGGAAAATGAGAATGAAAATGTAAGAGAGAAGGAAAAAAGGAAGAGAAAGAAAACGAGAGAGCGAACGAGACCAAGAAAAAAAAAAAACAGAAAAAATACACAAAGAAAGAAAATAAAGAAAAACACCAAACCAAAAATAATCCCAAAGACAAAGCCAAAAAAAAAAAAAAACAGACAAAATACAAACGACCTCAACTGACCTGCCGGGACCTGGATCGTGTAGTTGGCCAGAAGAGTGTTATTCACCCACTCGTTGTGCCTGTAGCTCCTCGAAGACATACTTAAGGTCAAGCTGCCTTCAGGAGACGCTGGGTTGGGCACGTAGACACACACTTGGTTCTCCTCCCCAGCCTTCCATTGGCGCGGGGTCGTGATGTAGTAAGCTCTGGAGGAGGAAGAGGAAATGTTGATATATATCTTGCTTTATTTGAGTATATGGCTGTTGTTTATTTGTTTGTTTGTTTATTAATGGTTTATATATGTAGTCATTTATTTATTTACTCCTATTTATTTATTTATTTATTGGGGTAGTGATGTGGTATGCTCTGGAAGAGGAAGAGAAATGTTGATATATATCTTGCTTTATTTGAGTATATGGCTGTTGTTTATTTGTTTGTTTAATGGTTTATTTATTTATTTATTTACTCCTTCCATTGGCGCGGGTCGTGATGTAGTAAGCTCTGGAGGAGGAAGAGAAATGTTGCTATATATCTTGCTTTATTTGAGTATATGACTGTTGTTTATTTGTTTATTTAATCGTTTATTTATCTATTTGCATGATTATATATATGTACACACCACACACACACACACACACACACACACACACACACACATATATATATATATATATATATATATATATTATATATTATATATAATATATATATATATATTGTTTTGGGGGTGGGGGGCGGTACTGTCGTCTGTGTGTGTGTTTATTTGGTACAATAGATTCTTTTTTGTCTATTTGTTATTCTTGTGAATATTTTTATCTATTAAGTTGGGAGATGTGTGACAGTAGAGAGAGCGTATGGGAAGCTATTGTTCTTATTATTGTTATGTCTTTTATAATGACTTTCTTTAATTCTTATCCTCATTGTCCTCATCCTTATCATCAGCAGCATCACTAGGATTACAGTGACAACAATCATCATTGTGATATTCATATTTACGGTTATAAATCTCATAATCTTTATCGTCATTACTATTATCATTACCATTATTACTGCTCTCCTTATCCTCATTCCTATCATCATTATCATTTACAATCATTACCATTATTACCACGTTTATCATCATTATTCTCATTATTCCAGTATCTTCTCATCACATGACTGATACCAATGATAACAAAGATCATCATTATTCTCATCACATGACTGATAACAATGATAACAAAGATAACAAAGACGACTCCCAACGACCTATTCTTCCCCAGACACCTTCCTCTCACACCCTCAGCAGCCGTAGCGAACCACCCATGCATACGAACACACACACACTCTTTCCCCTTGGCAACACACCTCACGAATTAGCATGTCTGGGATACGCTGGGCTTTGTTTGGGCCGTCGAGGGGGTGGCTTTCTCTCTCCTCTCTCTCTCTCTTTCTATCTGTCTTTTCTCTTTCTCTTTTTCTTTCTCTCCCTTTCTCTCTCTCTCTCTCTTTCTCTTTCTTTCTATCTGTCTATTTCTCTGTCTATTTCTTTCTCTGTCTATTTCTCTCTCTCTCTCTCTCTCTTTCTTTCTGTCTGTCTGTCTGTCTGTCTGTCTGTCTGTCTGTCTTCTGTCTGTCTGTCTCTCTCTCTTACGCTCTCCGTTTTCTCTATTTTTCCTCTCTTTATGTATTCATTTATGTATTTATATTTTACTCTATTCTCTTTTCTTTTTCTCTCTCTCTCTCTCTCTCTCTCTATCTCTATCTATCTATCTATCTATCAATACCCTTCACCAAATTTCTAGCCTATCAGAGCAGAGCATGCAAGTGTCATTATACTGGATACCTTCTCATGTAAGAATATCAACCGGTGACAAGGTAGTTAGCAAAACTAGCACTTTCCCATGAAGAACCAAATTATGCAATACCGTTCCCTGTCATTCAGATGAAAAAAACGTGTTATCAGCTGTCTTCGAGATCACGAGGGCCGATTATGGATCACTCAAAAAATTGAAGAAAAGTGGACATGGTACCATCGGCATTGCGAAAGTATTGTAGGTCATAGATGTTGACAAACCATATAATCTATGGTGGACTGTCTCGGAACAGCAGGTCACTAACCAGGCTACGCATAGGATATCAATACACTATACATTATGTACAGGATGCAGTTTTTGGAGCAAAGCCAGTTACATATCACGGCAAAATGTGCAAGGCGCCCAAGTCGCATAATCTTACACATTACTTACTTTGTTGCTCAAAAACTGCATCCTATCGATCAAATAGCACTGTCCAGAGACCAGCACTTATTGATTATATTAATATTTATCATAGACATCTTGTCTTCGATATGATTAGGGATATAAAATTTTTTACCAACTAGATGATATGTGAATAATGTATGCATAATGACACAGCCCTTCAGGCATGTAGAATGTTTGACTAATAGCCCTTTACATAAATATAAGCATAGCCAGTTGGATAGATGGCATCTTACCCTGGCTTTTTACAGGGCATGTACACTGTTCTGTAAATAAATATTATCAAATCAAATCAAATCTCTCTCTCTCTCTCTCTCTCTCTCTCTCTCTCTCTCTCTCTCTCTCTCTCTCTCTCTCTCTCTCTCTCTCTCTCTCTCTCTCTCTCTCTCTCTCTCTTCTCTTCTTCTTCTCTCTTCTTTCTTCCTCTCTTCTCTTCTCTTTCTCTCTTTCTCTCCTCTCTCTCTCTCTCTTTTCTCTCTCTTCTCTCCTTCTCTCTTCTTCTTTCCTCTCTCTCTCTCTCTCTCTCTCTCTCTCTTCTCTCTCTCTCTTCTCTCTCTCTCTCTCTCTCTCTCTCTCTCTCTCTCTCTCTCTCTCTCTTCTCTTCTCTCTACCTACCTACCTAGAGAGTTACATCTAACTTGCCTTTTCATTTTCTCATTGCCCTTGCTTTCAGCTTTCACTTGTGTTTTTAATGTTAATATTCAAATGTTAATGTGTTGATATTCACGCATAAATGTTTTAATTCATTCATACTTACATCACCTGGTGCTCGATTACTATTATAATTATATATATATTATATATATATATATATATATATAATTATATATGTATATATATATAATATATATATATTATATATATATATATATATATATATAATATATATATATATATTATATGTATGTATGTATGTATGTATGTATGTATGTAATGTATGAATGTATGTAATATGTGTGTAATATATATATCTATATATCTATTATATATTATATATATTATTATATGTGTGTGTGTGTGTGTGTGTGTGTGTGTGTGTGTGTGTGTTGTGTGTGTGTGTGTGTGTGTGTGTGTATAATGAAATTGTTAAAAAATAAAAGGACTGAATAAAATAGAAAATGTTACGAAACAACGGCCATAAACATCAACATACACAAACAAACCTCAAACACACACGCCACACAACACACACACACACACACACACACCACACACACACACACACACACACACACCACACACACACACACAACACACAACACACACAAAGAACACGAACAGTTGATCTGTGCTGCACCAGGTACACGCCATTGCATCACCAATCCACGCTACATATAACAGCACAGTTGATTGAGAGGTGGGTGCGGTGGTGGTTGCAAGAAAGAGATATTGCATAATAAATTACCGGTTTATTGCCCGGTTCTTGCGCCCAGTTCTAAATTTGGTTATAGCACATGCGAAGAGAGTTTGGCTAGCTTCACCTGCGGATTTTGGTGTCATTCATAGCCTTATTGTCACTGCATGCATAGATAGGTTGGTGAGTGTTTTATGTGGGTGCGTGTGTACGTTTGCGTGTATTAGTGTGTTTGAAGTGGTGAATGTCGATGTTTTGTAGAAAGTGTTTATAAGAGGTTTTGTTATGAAAGTGATTTTAGATATTTCGGGGAATTTATGCTTATGTTTTGTACCTCTGGGTGTGTTGATTCTCTCTCTCTTCTTTCTTTTTCTTTCTCTCTCTCGTCTCTTTCTTTCTCTTTCTCCTCTCTCTCTCTTTCTTTCTCTTTCTCTCTCTCTCTTTCTTTCTTTCTCTCTCTCTCTCTCTCTCTCTCTCTCTCTTTCTTTCTCTCTTCTCTCTCTCTCTCTCTCTCTCTCTCTCTCTCTCTCTCTCTCTCTCTCTCTCTCTCTCTCTCTTCTCTCTCTCTCCCCCTTCCCCCACCTCACTCCCTCTCCCTCCTCCCATCTCCCTCTCCATCCCTCCCCTCCTTCCCCCTCCTCCTCCCTCCCTCCCACCCTTATCCCCTCCCACCCTTACTCCTTCTCCCCTCCTCCCTATCCTCCTCTCCTCTCCTCTCCTCCTCCATCCCTCCCCTCTTTCTCCCTCCTCCTTCTCCCACCCCTCTCTCTTTTCCCCCCTTCTCTTCTTTCTCTCTCCGAACATACTCCTGCAAATCCCCAATAACTGTACACTCACACAAAGATTGTTCCCAATCATATGCTCCAACAAACATAACGATAAAAAAAAAAACCGTTCACCAACAATACACCATCAATAGCGATTACTGGGAAATCCACAGGAAGTCATCAGAGCCGGACGTCCGCTGTTGCAAGAGGAAGGCTTTGCAATGCTTTATACGCTGTTGCACACCTGCGCGGATACAGACAGACAGCCCCGAAACGCAAATATAGAAGTGCTCTCGGAATGGTTGTGATTATTTTGTAAGCCATTTTATAAGTGTACTTGGAATTGTTCACGGGATGTTTGTGGTTATTTTGTAAGCCATTTTATAAGTGTACTTGGAATTGTTCACGGGATGCTTGTGGTTATTTTGGTAAGCCATTTTATAAGTGTACTTGGAATTGTTCACGGATGCTTGTGGTTATTTTGTAAGCCATTTTATAAGTGTATTGGATTTTGTAAGCCATTTTATAAGTACTTGGAATTGTTCACGGGATGCTTGTGGTTATTTTGTAAGCCCTTTTATAAGTGTACTTGGAATTGTTCACGGGATGCTTGTGGTATATTTTGTAAGCCATTTTATAAGTGTACTTGGAATTGTTCACGGGATGCTTGTGGTTATTTTGTAACCATTTTATAAGTGTACTTGGAATTTTGTAAGCCATTTTATAAGTGTACTTGGAATTGTTCACGGATGCTTGTGGTTATTTTGTAAGCCCTTTTATAAGTGTACTTGGAATTGTTCACGGGATGCTTGTGGTTATTTTGTAAGCCATTTTATAAGTGTACTTGGAATTGTTCACGGGATGCTTGTGGTTATTTTGTAAGCCATTTTATAAGTGTACTTGGAATTGTTCACGGGATGCTTGTGGTTATTTTGTAAGCCATTTTATAAGTGTACTTGGAATTGTTCACGGGATGCTTGTGGTTATTTTGTAAGTCATTTTATAAGTGTACTTGGAATGTATGTGTAAGGTATGCCTCGTTGCGTATTGATTGTATATATGCATTTGATTGTTTTATTTCTTTTTTCTCTATTTGTTTATTACCCGGTGGTGCGTATACACTTCATTCGCGTGCAGAAAAGAACAATATTATTGATAATAACAACAAATTATTATTTTTTTTAATAACGTAAATGATTTTTTTTAAAGGAATTGGAATCCTTTTTAACTTTCCTTTCCATTCTCTTTTCTTATAAGTGTCAATCAATGCATAATACAAAAGGAATTTTCACCCTGTCGACTTTTCCAAATAGAGAGATGGGGAGGAGGAGGAGGAGAAGGGGGAGGAGAAAGAGGAAGAGAGGAACAGAAGAAGAGGAAAAGATAGTGAAAGAATGAAGAACAAAAACATCTACAAGAACAATCAATCACGAAAAAAATATAAAAAAAGCGAGAAAAACCCAAACCATCGGTAAAAAACAACGAACGAAATAATACGAACGTGCTTTCGGTTCCAGCAAGCGGGGGTTAGTG